GCAGTAAATGAGAAGAAAATAGATAAATAGAAAAGTAAAATGCCTAAAATCGCGGACCCCAGCGATTGCTTCAAGATCTTCAAATTCACTCGTTTGCCTGAAAAGAAAAAAGGAAAATAATAAAAGACAGTCGAATAAGGAAAAATTACACACCTTACAGAACCAAACCCAATTTTGTTACGCCAATCTTTCCGCTCCCGTATTAGCTGAAACAAATCCGCGCCAGTGGCAGCAAGTTTCAAAACATGTTTTTTTTGCAATTCGAAAATTTTGAAAAGGCATTGTTTTTATCATAAGGCCTTAAATTAAATTTTCCAGAAAGTGTTTCAATGTAAATTTAAATAGTTTTCTAATTTGACTAAATTTTGAAAATTAGAAAAGCTAAAATGATGAAATGGCTTGAGGAATCCAGAAATGGCATCCCAATTTGAAATTTCACATGCGAAGCCGACGCCTTAAAAACAAATGTTTTAATGGCCTTTGGGTATCCGGAATTTGCGCTCAGCCTAGTCGTGGAGGGAAAAAAATAGGAAGGAAGCGCCATTTTGAAGAATGGGGTTTTCCAGGAAATTCGATGGGGGTGTGGATAGGCGTGTCGAGTAGTCTGGGGGCAATTTGAAGGAGAACAAAAAAAAAAAGAGGAAAAAGCAGAAGATTGAGCGGAACTGGACTCGAAGATCTTCTGGCGCTTCTGAAGGCGATATCCCATATAGCTAGAAGGGGGAGATGAATAATTGAGATGGGAGAAAGAGAGAGAGAGAGAGAGAGAGAGAGAGAGAGAGAGAGTGGGAGAGAGATATCCACTTCAGATTCCCTTCTCCTTTTCTGGCTCCTCATCTCCACACATCTCCAATGCATTCATCCACCCTCCAAACAAAAAAATCCATCCCGCGCCCCGCTCGAAAGTTCACGACGCCAAATTTGGAATTCACCGCCCCGGCGGAAATAGCTTTTTTGAGGTACGATGATTACGGTGGGGGCTAACTAGCAGAGATTATTAGGGATGTTGGGGAAATTATAGCCTAGAACGTAATGCCGATGTGAATTAAGTGGTAAACTTTGAGCCGAAAAATGCGTTTTTACGAAACATTTGATTTCCAAAGGTCTCATTTCAATTAGACTTTAATCTCCTGCACTAAAATATATAATAAATTCAAGACCCTGTCCGAAATAGCTTTTGAAGTACGATGATTACGGTGGGGGCTAATTAGCAGAGGTCATTAGGCTTGTTGGGAAATTATAGTCCAGAAAAGAAAGCCGACGTGAATTAAGTGGTAACTCTCAGCTGAAAAATGCGTTTCGACGAAACATTTGATTTCCAAAGGTCCCGCCCTTGCTTAAATTTCAATTCGTTTTTGATTGCCTGGGCTAAAATCTCATAAATTAGTCGACGAATTTTTGAAAATAAAAGGCATACAAGAAAACCATCAATTAAAGAAAAAAAAGAACGAAACCGGGATAAAGCATATTTTCGAGTAATCTTATCGGGGGTTCTGATTGTTAAGAAATTTTTCAAAAATTTTCTCCGATTCGTATAATGCAATGAAAACGGTTTGGTTCCGCGGGAAAATCGCAAAAAATCTAATTTCTGTCTGCCGATTATGCTACCTTTTGAATCTTTTTTATTAAAATCGCTATAAAAATAAGCATTCCTATTCCGAAATAATCTGAGAAAAATTCGACGAAAAATACGCACTTAACAATATAAATCGATAAAACATTTGATTTTTAAAATTTCAAAAGTGAAGATTTTCGCTACTAGTCAATTGGCTTTGATAAATTTTATAAAGTCAGCGGTAACCGATATTTTGGGATCTTGCAAATGTTTATCCATGGGTTTTTTATTACTTTACATTAATGTAGCGGCTAATTAGCAGCGGTCATTGCATACTACCGAATCCGAAGTGCAATTAATCCGTAAAGTTTTCACTGGAGAACCTATTGAGACGAAACATTTGATTTTTTAACGACTCCCTAGCGTTTATATTCGAACCTGATTTTGATCCCATGGGTTCAAATGACAAATTAAGGTAAGGTCACCAATTAATATAGTTTAGATATTGAACTTTTGGTATACTCTATAAATCAGTTTTTTGAAGATCACGATAGGGCAAACATAAATATATTCGAGTAATTTTATGGACACGAAATTTCGCAAATTCTCACGAATTCATATAATTCACTGTGACGCGTTGGGTTCCCTGGGAAAATCGCCAAAAAGGTTTTCTGACTTCTTTATAGCGATTTTGCTATCTTTTGAATATTTTTTTTTACGAAAATCGCTCTAAAACAGGTTATTTGGAAAAAACTCTGAGATAATTCCACGAAAAAAAACAGCATTTAATAATTCAAATCGATAAAACATTTGATTTTTAGAATTTCAAAAGTGAAGATTTTTGCTCTAGTCAATTGATTTAAATCTAAAGCTTCATTACTAAGTGATTGATAAGTCAACGGTACAACATATTTTGGGATCTTGTAAACACATATGTATGGATTGTTCTTATTGTAGATTAATGTAATGGCTAATTATCAGCGCTCATTATGAAAAAATAGGAACTCAAATTAAGCCGTAAACTTATCGCTGGAAAAGTTATTGTGACGAAACATTTGATTTTTTAACGACTCCCCAGCGTTCAAATTCTACTCTGCTTTTGATCTCATGGGTTCAATTGACAAATTAAGATAAGCTTATCAATTAATATAGCTTAAATATTGAACCCTTGGTATAGTTTATAAATTATTGAAGATCACGAAAAGGCAAACATAAATATATTCGAGTAATTTTATGGACACGAAATTTACCGAAATTCTCACGAATTTGTATAATTCACTGAGACGGGTTGGGCTCCTTGGGAAATTCGCCAAAAAGGTTTTTAATTTCTACCAGGGTTGAAAAGCCGCTTCGCGACTTTTCAACCCTGGCCCCGTCTGATCCGATGATATTCTTCACTTTGCATAATTCTCACGATTTTCGATGACAAAGAATGAGAAACGCTACCTCTCTTGCCTTATATAGGCTACCGCAACTTCCGGCGTATGCTAATTGTTTCCTAACAAAGAGGCTGGCCCATTTGTCAACAAAAAACTTAATTTTAACGTCGAAAAAAGTTCATTTTTGAAAATTTAATTGGTGTGCAGTCATCCCCAGGCCATTACGCACCTAATGACGTATCAAACATGCCCTTAACTACTCCCCTTATTGAGATACTACTGGAACAACCTGACGGAAGTTGCATGCAAAGTGTCACACACACACACACACACACACAGACACTATTTTTTTATATATAGTAGGATATGGCGATTTTGCTACCTTTTCAATATTTATTACGAAAATCGCCTCAAAACAGGGCCATTTGGAAAGAAACAAAAATCCCACCAAAAAACCCGCGCTGGACCATGTAATTCGGAGAAACATAAATTTTTTCAATTGAACTGCTGGGAGGATTTTTGCTCTAGTCAATTGGTGAAATTTACAGTTTTGTTTGCTACGTGATTGATAGAGTTAGAGGCGATTTTGCAACCTTTTAATCTTTTTTTAGGAAAATCGCTCTAAAAACGGGTCATTTCGAAAAAGGTAGGTCATTTCCCTCTGAAGCAGCGGATCCGGCAAAAAATTCCGCACTGAACCATGAAATTCGAAGAAACACGCTATTTTTTTAAATTAAAAACAGGTGATTTTTGCTCTAGTCTTAAAGTTGTTTTAAATTTAAAGCTTGATTACTACGTGATTAAAGGGGCCCCGAACCGCCAAATCAAAGCCCTTTTGGGAGGGCTCTTTGATTTCTGCCAAATTGCCAGCGGGCGCTGCGGGACTAGAGCCCTCACTCTTTCGATTTTCGCGCCAAGTTGTCTTTGCCCGGTTTCTTTGTGCAAACACTATAATTCGCGCATTCTAAGCCCATTTTTGAAATCCTCACTCAATTTTAAACAGTTTTGGTGTTTTAATCATCAAATTTGGCCCAGAAACAGCCGAGAAAGTGATTTCGAGGTGACCACAGGCAATTTCAAATTTGCGAGCTTCCCGCGCCCCAGGTGTACAGAGGCCTCCGAAGTACAGGGTTCAGATTTTCGGGCTGTCACTCAATTTTTCGCATTTCGTAGCCCCTTTAACAAAGTCAGCTGCAAAACATATTTTGGAAGCCCCATATGAATTAAACTGTAACCTTTTCCCTGAAAAAGCTAATGAGACGAAACATTGGATTTTTTGAAAACTCGCCGGCGTTTAAATTTCGATTTTCTGCTGCGTGCTGGCTTCAACTAACCAAAATTTATACAAGAAACGTGTCAATCAGTATATTTTACACATTTTTAGCATACTTTATAAACTAGTTTTGTAAGAGCACGAAAACGGGATAAAACATAATTTTCCAATAATTTTACGGCGGCCCGCGCTCGCCCCAATTCTTCCAAAATTCCCACGAATTCCGATGAAAGAATCAACGGGGTTGGTTCCAGGGAAAATCGCCCAAAAAGGTGAGTGCTTGAAAAACAGGAGCGGAAGGGGTGGATTTCCCAGGAATTCCGCTAGGTTACTGGCATCCCGAAAAACATCTCTCTCTCTCTCTCTCTCTCTCTCTCTCTCTCTCTCTCCATCGGCTATCCATTCAGCTAATCGCTCCAGATACTAAATTCTGCCTTTTCGGGGCCCCTTTCCCCCCGGGCGGCTCGAAATACTGCGGCCAGGATTAGCGCCGAAAATCCGTAGCTTTGGCTTAAAATAGCATTCTGAAAAAGTTGGTGCAATAGTCAACACGCAAGAAAATTATGTTTCGAAAATTTGTAAAAAGTTCGACCAGCGCCTTCCTATATTTCATCACATTCCTATATTAAACGTAGCTTACAATTAGAAAAATCTCGACCACTTTTCGGGGTAGTGACCGGACGCCCTACTCGCCCCCCGATAACGCGAAAGCACCCTATTTAAATATATGAAATAAAATCAGTGTCCTTCCCCCGATAAGGCGAAATAACCATTAAATCTTCAATTTCCCCACCTCATTCTCGCCCTCAAATCCACCAGCAGCTAGCAGCAGACGAACGGACGGCTCGGAGACGAGGGTCGCGTTCACCGGTGGCAGCATCTCGGCTGCATTCGGGGGAATACACTAAATTAGTTATTTTTATATTATTATTCCTTTCAAACTTTAAAAAAACCAGAATAACACAAGGGAAATTCATGGAACCTGAGAACGGCTTAAAAAAGCGCTGATATTCTCTTTCTAATAATGGGCATTCCTAAAACATTTTATTTTATTAAATTCAATGTAGAAAAATGCGTAATTGCGTAATCCACAAAATGCTTTAAAAAAATCCATAATCACAAAAACAAAGTTTGCCCGTCAGTTTAAAGGGGCAGTGCCAGGTAGGAATTGTAGAGAGGATATCGAGAAAAATAAGAACAAACTGGGAAATTGTTTTCAAAGGAAATGCCCCAGAATAGCTATAAGATTCCGTTTTTAACCATGGACGTTTTTTTAAACATTTAAGTTTGACAAAATAAATAATTATTTTTGGGTGGTATTTAGACAGCTGAAGAAGTCCGTCGCACAATGTTAAAGGCACGATTTCGTTTAAAACTATTTCGAAATGAGTGAAACATTTAATTTTAACGAAGGAAAATGAGGACAATAACGACGTCTGGGATGCGTTACGCGTCGCGGGGCGGTAAAATTCCTCGAGAATCCATATTCAAAATCGACAGGTTTCCACCTTGTTCGCCCCTTTAAATGGGGTGTGCCAGTTGGAAATTCGGTAAGCACAAAAAGGGCACCGATAAATAGAACCGCAAAATCCGGTATTCAGAAAACGGAGTGCTATTAGAAATCAATACCGGTTTTAAATTTTGCATATTATTGCAACATCTTAATTTCCCAATAAAAATCAGAATTATTTTTTGTGGCGCGTTGCGTTGCGAGGCTGAAAAATCCATAGCCTACTACATCCAAAAAAATACCTTACCAGTCCCTCTAAAAATTCATGATTCAACCAGACGAAACTTCGCCTAAAATGGGCGCGAGTGCGGCTAAATCGGGATGGCCGTATATTTCTGGGTAAATATTAGCCTTTAGCCCACTCAACTACTCCGAGGGATCGAAGATTAATAACATGTCGTAATACCCGAGTAAGCCACGCCCATTTTTGCAGTTTTGAAATTCAGGGCATTACGATGAAAAGGCAGTTATAAAAATCACTGTTAAAAGCCAGCAAATAATAAGAAATTAAATAGGCCAAGGAAATGGGCAGAACAACCATAAAACTTATAATGAATAAAAATTCTAGAAAAATTGGACTATAACTTTGTTGGTTCATATGATATATACCTGAATCATATTTTTTAATAACTCGATAATAATCAAGAAATAATCAATAAATGAAAATAAATAAATAATAAATGATGAGAACAAGAAATGAAAAAAGAAATAATCAAGACGAGGCCACGCCCACTTGTCAGTTTTGAAATTAAGAGAATTGACCAACTATTTTAAACTCCATAAAAACAAATAAAACGTAAAACTTGGTATTGAAAACTCAAAAGATCCAAACTCGCTTTCAAACTACAGCGGCCCAACAAAAATTGGTGAAGTCAAAAACTATTTTGGGTGTTAAAAAACTGAAACTCATCTCATCGAAGCGCACAATTAAAAATGGAAAAGTATGGAACGAGAGAGTTTAAACGGCTCTAATAACCTTAAGAATAGCTACAAGAATAGCCTGAGAATAAGGAAATCGCTAAATTAAGAATAGCTGCATTGTTCAGTACGATAAACTTACCCGAAATAAAATTGGTTGTTTTATTGGAAAAGACACGGGTTTCCAGAGCGGATTGTTAATGCTATCACATTTTTCTAGTTCCAGGAAAATGAAACATCTTTTATGGCCTTGCTAAAATTTGTTTAGTGATATATTTAAGACAACTAGATATATAGTTCATTTAATTATAATTTAACTAGAATTTTATAATTAAAGTAAATATTTAATTGAAAAACCGAGACGCATTTTGAATCAGAATTAAACATTCGATTATTAACAGCCTTTTTCCCGGGAGCGACCTTTTCCTACAAAATTTTTACCAATTCTTTAGTAATTAGAATGTACGTATATTTTTGGGGGAAATTTAGTTTCTATAATTATTAGGCGCTGGAAATGTGATATTGGCCGCGGGATACCTAAAATAACACTCCAGGAAATGAGGCCTTTGTCGGGTTCAAATTGGCGTTAGTCAGCAAAAAAAATTGTGAAAAAAGATGTTACAGGAAATTTCAGGATTCTGCCGTAACGGGGATGACTTATTTGTATGAAAAACACGTTGTGAAAAATTGAATGTAAGAGACTGGCAGTAAACCCTAAATAAAATTTAGCTTCCGCGCCAACCCCCCGCGCTAAGAGCTCAGTACCGAACGAGAAAATCTGGATAAAAAAATTCACCTTCGAGAACAGTCTATCTCGGAATTTATCTAACCTTAATTAACATAATTCATGACAAAAGGGTCGTTACAAATTTTAAAATTCCTTCATGTGGTGGCGTCGGATTATCATGATTAAACTTTTGTTTGGCCAATAAAATTTTGAAACACGTTTTCAAAGCAGAAAAATTTGAAAAGCAGCCGTTTTTTAAAAAATTTCGCGGTTAAGCTACGCGGATACTGTAGACATTCAGTGACGTACAGAATGGATAAATCCGTTCCTGACACGGCGAAATTGAGCTTGAGAGAGTAAGAACGAGAGAGAGAGAGAGAGAGAGAGAGAGAGAGAGAGAGAGAAGAGCAAACGAAAAGTTGCCAATTCCGTGGATTTCCGGGGGCAAAAGCCAATTTCTACGACGATCGTTTTTGCAGACGAGGGAGATTCACTACTTGCTCTCTCCATCTCTCTCCCTCGCTCTCTCGCCCTCTCGCTCTCTATCGCCGGAAGGGTTAGCGATTTCGCTTCCGGCTTGAAGCCCGAATTTTCTCATTAAAATTCTAGTTGGCGATAGTGGGGGCTGGGGGGCACTATTTTAAGGCCCCCGGGTTCGGGGAATAGAGGGGATCAAAGAACAAAGCCGGGCATGCTGGCAGAGATCATTTAGGAAATCGGGGCCTGTGTAGCTAGCAGAGACTCTTTGGGAAATTTGGGAAATACAATAAAAAATTCATATCTGGGGGCAAATTAGCAAGGGTTCCTTGAGGAGTTCTGATCTGGGCAGGTTGGCAGAGGCTTTTTGCGGAAAACCGGTAGGGTAGACTAGCAGAGATCATTTACGAAATCGGGCCTGGGCAGGTAGCCGAGGCTCTTTGCGGAAAATCGCTAGGGCAGGCTAGCCGGGATTGTTTGGGGGGAGAATCGGACCGGGGTAGCCTAGCAGAGATCCTGAGCAACTTTGGGACTGCAATCTAGCAGACTTTATTTGGGAAATCCGGCCTGGAAAACTAGCAAAGATTCTTTAGGAAATTCATAGCTGGCAAGCTATGAGATATTTCCAAAATTTTGATATAGGCAAGCTGACCGACTTCTTTTGGGAAATTTGCCCCCGAGGGCTTGGCAGAGGTTGTTTGGGAAACCCAGGCTTGCACAGCTAGCAAAGATTCTTTAGGAAATTTTGTTTGAAAAGGCTGGCAGACTTCATTTGGGAAAAAGGGAGCCAGGGCAGGCTAGCAGCGTTTCTTTGGAAAACGAGGAAACAGGGGATTAATGAAGAACATCTATTAGAACAGAACGGAGCGTGTAAACTATCAAATTTCAGAGAAGCATAATTTTTCTCAAAAAATCTTTGCTTCAAAACGAGGACAGGGCAAGCTAGCACAGATCGTTTGGGATTGAAAGCACATATAGGTGGCGGCTAGCAGGGATCATTTAGGAAGGTTCAAGAACTTTCAAGAATTTTAGGAATTTAAATGAACGACAAACTCGACTAGAACGATACGACATTGACGCTGCCTTTTTCAAACGAAGGTGCTTTCAGGATGAACCATGTGAAAAATATGAAAAATTGATGCTCGAAATCTGACTTTATCGGGCGAGAGTATATAGGGCTGGCAGGCTTGCAGAGATCTTTTGAAAAAGAATAAGCGTAGATCAGGTTAGCAGGCATCTTTTTGGGGAAACCGAGAATGCATGCATTTTATGAAAATCTGACGAAAATTGTAAAAATTGAGCAGCTTCCGAACAGCGCATTTAACTCATCAAAAATTAAAGCAACTTAAGTGCTTTAAAGATGAAACACACTTCTATCTGAAAAATCTCTTCTTTGTCAAAGCAAAAACTCGTAGACAAATCAAACCTTGTCTACGAATCCCTAGGCATAAACTATCGAAAAACTTCCCGGGCCGCATAAATCGAAATGGTATATTCAATAGGATCTGATTTGCTGTTTTTTCTAAAAAAGACTTTTACGGATTGGAGGCTTCGTTGCCCCTTATTAATGTCGATATTTGTTAAAGCGGCTGACCTGGTAGTTTAGCAAAGATCGTTGCGGAAATTCTACCTGGGCACTTAGCAGAGGCTATTTGAGAAATCTGCTGGCTGGGCAGTCTAGCAAATATTCTTGGGGAAACCGAGAAGGCACGCATTAAGCGGAGAAAATTGTGAAAATTTGCGGCAAGGATTCTATTAATGCAGAACAATGCGTGTAGACTATCCAATATTCTAGCCACATAATTTTTCTCAAAATTTTGCTCAAAAACGAGGCAAGGGAATGCTAGCACGGATCGTTTGGGACTGGCGAAGAGAAATAAGTGACGGCTAGCGGGGGTCTTTTAGGAATTTTCCATCGTCATTGTCTTAAGAATTTAAAAAAGGAATTTTAGGAATTGTCAAAAATTTTGTGAATTAATGGAATGGCAAGTCATATCACAATCCGCAGCTTATTATAACAGCATTTTGAAGCGAAAGTGCTTGAAGGATGCAACTACGACAAAAAATATGCAGGACCTGGTTCTCAAATCAAACTTTTACAGGTTTTCAAGTTTTACACTTTTACTTTAAACTTTTACATTTTACAGGCGGCACGAATTACAGTAGGGCTGGAAAGAGAGTGAAGGGGCGTTAGATACGTGTTACAAAAAATACATACGAAAATCCAATGCAAGAATCATGCATGGAT